GGAAGGAAGGAGGGGGTGGGGGGTAGAAGAAGAGAACAACCAAAGGACTTGTATGCATGCATATAGGCATAACCAATGGGCACAGACACTAGTGTCCATTGGTTATGCCTATATGCACAGGGGTGAGGGCATTAGTGAGGTTGGGCGGGGGATGGGGACATAAGGACATATATGTAATACTTTAATCAATAAAGAAAGAAAAATAAAAAAGCCCCCCAGCCCAACCGGAACGGTGGCCGCCACCTGCCCATAGTGCATGGGCCCCGCCTTAGCACAAAGCATTTCAGGTTTATTTAAATAAAAATTATAATTTATACAAGACTTCTTTAAACAAGGTCTCTTAAAAAATGTTACAGGGGGGTTTCATCGGTGCCTCGTACAGTACAATCCTTTCGTGAACAAAGTCGCACGTCGCGATATTTACAAACAGAGAGAGGAGCTCCAGACCAGGAAGGTCAGCGTCCTCCTCGTCCAGGGATGAGTCGTAGAAATTAAACGCCTCCCAGGTTTACATTCAGTGAAGCCACAGGTCCCCGCGCGGGAGGGAGCCCGGGGCCTGCACAGGTCTGCGCTCTGCCTGCCACCGGCCTGCAGTGCAACTCGGGGACCCCACTCTGTACCCCAGCACCCCTCGGCCCTCCATGGGGGGCTGGGCTGCCACACCCTGTCACGTGGTGAGTTTTCATCTCCCTTTCTTCTCAGAAGGGACTCCAACACCACCACCCCTGCAGGAGCATGGAGCCCTCGCCCACTGCAGGCCACCCCCGACCGCAGGGCCCCCCCAGCCGGGGACAGTCCCCCCTGCTGGCCAAGAGACACGTGCTGATCCGTGGCCCCAGGGGGCCACCCACGGCCGGCCTGGGCCAGCTCAGGCCCACGACGCCACGCGGGAAGCCCTCTGGCGGTGCACCCCTGGGTGTCCCCAAGACTCAGCCCACAAGAGCCATCCACCGGCGATGACCGTGGGAGCAAAGCCAAGGTTCAGACGGTCCTGCCTTCACTTTCCAGTACCCGTGCCCGAGCCGGTGGGCGCTGGGCGCCCCCGGGCCTCACGGCGGGGGCGGCGTGTGCTTGTCTGGCTGGCTGGGCACCCCCAGTGCTCCTGGGCCCAGCACGTGGCCTGGCCTTGCAGCCCCTCCCTGAAGGGGTGACAGGAGCGATCCTACCAACCTCTCACCCAAACCAGCAAATGAGGATCAGAGCAAAGGTAAAAATCACATCTGAAAAATGATACAAAAATAAGAAGAACAGCTTGCTCTCTGTAAAAAATAGAATCTGTTTCTTCAAAAAACGACAATCTCACCAACACCCCAGGGACTCGGGACGGGTGGAGCTGGAGTAATCCTTGTGGGACGTGTGCTGACCCGCGCGGGCCGTGTGACCCGCCCACTCCCACAGTGTGTTTTTTGCAGCAGCCGCAGGCCTATGGGGACACCGGGCTGGCGTCCAGGGCTGTCCCAGAATGCACCGAGCCTGGCCACCTCCACCAGGGCTGTGGCGTCCTCGGCAGGGTGGGCCCAGACCAGCAGGAGGGCGGGGCTCGCTCCCATCCGTGCTCGCGTGGGTGTGCGTGTGGGCGCGGGCACGCAGCCAGGAATACTCGAACGCCAGGGGAGCAACTGCCCGGCCCACACCTCTAGGCTCTGCTCACGATCACCCCCTAAGTGTCTGCACGGCTGGGCCCACCACGGGCCTGGGCCACGCCTGTGCCCCCGCAGCCCCAGGCCCCTCCTCACCGGCCAGGTGGCTCAGGGAGGCCCACGCTGGCCACGCAGGCGCCCACCTTCATCAGCCCCCTGGGCCTCCCGAGAACAAAGCGTTAGGAATGTGCTTCCAGCTCCACAGCCTCCACCCCCACGT